TCAAGGCCAGTTTCTGGGCAGCGTGTTTCGCCGGGGCCGTCTTCTTCTTGCTTGCAAGGACCGTCGCGCGCTTCTCGATTAAATGGTAGAGAGCCAAAATGGCCCGGGCCAAGGCGCGAACGGCATGGTCGCTACTCTCTGCGCGCTCGCCCAAGTACACTTGCAGCCGGTCGGGTCCCCCGCCCTGCTCGGGGAAGCACAGTTGTTTCCAAGTGGTCCGGGCCGCGTGGCGCAGGGCCGCGCTGCTCTTCAGCGCGGACAACTCCGAATTAGCTGGGTGTGCGGCATGCAAAGCGTAAATGGTGGCCATGGGATCTTTCGGGTCAGCGAAGGACTCAGTGACAGACTCCTCTAACTGGTCGGTGTCCACCATGATCGCAAACCACGCCCGCCTGACCTGGTCGGGGCCAAGGTCGCGCAACACTTTACGGAACGGAAACTCCGCGTCTGCCTGGGCCTGGAACTCCGGGATCCGGGTTGCCCTCGAGAGGCCCTCCGTGACGGCGCTGCTCGCAGCGACGCCGATGGTTCCGTCGGCGGCGACCTCCTTGGTGATGCTGGCGAGCACCGCTGCGTGGATGGGACCTGACGGGGCGCAAGCTGCCGCAATCGCCTCGTCAATGAGGGCCTTGACGCGGTCCTCGCTGACTGGAGACCCCATCCCCGCGACAGTGGTGGTGTTCAATCGGCAGATCCGCTGATGGACCAGCTGAACCGAAATGCGGCAAATAAGAACGTCCCGGAGCATCCGCGAAGCATGGGCGGTCTGGGGAGCAAGGGGGGGACATGTGAAGAAACGAGAAATTGAAAATGTGGGATGTCCCGGCCATCGACAGTCATAAAATCCCAGCAATGCACCCTAATAGCGGGCAGGAGCGGGGGGCCATATTGGGGGGTGGAGGGATTGGGGAAGCATGTGCAATGCAATGTGTATTTTTGTAGGTGCGAAAGAGCACAGGTAGCTCTGTCAGCGCTTGCGCTTCCGGCGGTTCGGAAGCCAGCTTTGAAGCACGATGTATGGAAGATCCGACGCTGGGCCTTTCGACAAGCCGCGATCGGACGGCCATCGGAAATGGTCGGACCCGGCGGGCCACGATCTGATTCTGTGCCACTTGGATAGCAACGACGGACGGAACCACGGGGCTCCCGGGTCGTCAGGGCACAGGATGACAACGCGCAGGTCTGCGTTGACAGCAATGGCGGCATTCAAAAATTGAAAAGTCTCCTTGAGCAGCGTGCGCGGTGGGTGTGCCCACACCGCGTGGCCGCGCAGCTCGGCCTCGAAAGCGGAAAGTTCTGGAAAACGCCACTCGTGGGCGAGAGCCGTCATGCCGAGTCGATCTGCGAACAAGTCCAGCGTGAACTGAACGCCGCATCTGGATTCGACCTCTTGAAACAAGGTCTTGCGAAGTGCGGCGTCCCTGTACTGATCCTCGCGCCAGGAACGCGCGAAGTCCAGTGACCGGGATCCCGCGTCTGCAATGACGTTGCTCTTGCCAGGGATGTGCAAAGCTAGAGCCCAACATTGAGCTGCCCGCTCGGCGCTTTCAAAACGATGCGCCAGAGACTCGAGGGAAGGTATCCGCCCGTAGCGCACATTAACGTAATGCACGGCAGCGGAATTGTCGAGCCTGAACAAAACTCGCCAACCCTTTAAGCAAGAAGACTCCCTGAGAAGGCACTGGACTGCAACCCACAACTCCTTGTAATTGATTTCCAAGGAATTGGGCTGCGCCTCCCGGGATTCGAAGTTGTCGGGCCACGTATCGGCGACAACGCGGCTGTCCCAACACAGATGGTATGACCACCCGTGCATTTTGGAGGCGTCGCACTCCACGACCCGGATTGCGCCTTTGCGGGCAAGGTTCACCCAATCAGCGAATTCGGGAGATTTGTGGCCCCACATGCTGAGAGGGCCGCCGTCACAATGCAAGGAACGCACCGGGGGCGTACATAAGGCCGAACAGATGTGCGCCAGGGCCGCGCGACTGAGATCTGAGAGAGTCACCGGGGGGTCGGCCAAGGGGCTGGCACGCCACGCCGAATACACCCCCGACGCATTAAAATCTGCCCACAGCGGGTGCAGCCGGCGCCGCAACTGCGGAAGGAGCTCCGCGATGTGCGAAGCCAAACCTACTGCCGACGCTAACTGTTTGCTGCGGAGCGTGCGGTGTTGGTCTGCCTCGAGAACGGCAGCGCACAATTCGCGACAGCGGTCAGTCTTTTCAGGCGGCACGGTGATAATGCATTCGACGGTATCGAACACCCAGCCGATCCAGGTTTGTCGGCGCGCAGGTGTTCGGATGCCGCTGGGTTTGGCACTGATTGGGATGCCACACCGCAACAGGAAGCGGACAGCTCGACACAGGTTTTGCCAAGCCGTGGGTTCATCCGGCGCCGCGCCTAACAAGTCGTCAACGAAGTCTAAAAGGTCAACTTCGGTACGTAAGCGGAGGATTCTTAAAATCTCCTTCACATTGGTGTCGTTGATGCCAGGCGCGGGCCTGAGGCCGAATGGTAAATAATTGTATTTCCCGAACTGGCGTCTGCCAGGGGAATAGAAGCCTAGGGCGTACGAGTCGGCGTCGGAAACACGCCAATTAAAAAAAACAATCGCGCAGGTCGAGGACGAACAACCAGGAACCCGCGGACATGCGGGCCACAGCCTGATCCAGCGTGCCGTACGCGACGTCGGCGTTTGGCGTGCACTCGTTGACGCCCCCCCGCCGCAAATCGACGATTAAACGCGCTTTGAAGCGCTCAGATTCGTCGGCCTCGGCGTCCGCCCCGGGGCGCGGCTTCAGGATTAAGCCGCACGGGTTGACGTTGAGGTGGGCGGAGGGGCATCAGCCGGGAAGAAGGAAACTTTCCCCGACTCAGCCAGGCGGTCCCATTCGCGTTCGGCCCACGCGAGCTGGGACGTGACGGAAGGATGGTTGCGCACCTGCCTCGGGACGACAGGCGACGCCCCGAGAGAGTGCCCGTGCCGCCAGGAATGCAGCAGGGCGGGGTCCGCGCCATTCGCGGACAGGAAATCGAAGCGCAGGTGAAGGCCAGGTACGCCCTCCCATTCCTGTAGAGCGGAATTTCCGTCTCGGACCTCCGCTAAGAGAGCGTCCATCGTCGGCCCGTGTTGCTCGAGCCAGCGCTGCGAGGAATTATGCGGCAGAGGTTTATGGGAGGGGGGAAGGGAGGAAGGGAGGGCGGCAGTGTATGCAGGGGGAAAAGGAGAGGGAGGGGCAAGGATGGGATCCGAAGCGCGATTGTCTTCAAGGCACTATACGTGCCGTGCCCCTTTTTCTTCCGACGGGATTGCCACCAGTATTGCCTGCCACGAGCGCGGATGACACAGAGCTCATTTTCCGACAAGGCTCGCAGGCCTCGCCCTCGCCGTTCTCCTCCACCTCCTCATCCTCGTCTCCTGAATGGGAGGGGGCAGCAAGGGGCAAGGAGAGGCAGCCATGTGTGTGTGCGTGTGAGGATAGAAGAAGGGCGAGGACGCAGCGCGGAAGAGACCGACTGTCGCTCGCCGTGTCTGTCAGAGTCTGGCAGAGATGGCCGCCTCTAGGTATATTGCATGTTGTGCCCCTCATTGAAGCCCCGGCGGGGGAGGGGGGAGTGATGGGAAACAAGATGGAAGGAAGAAGTGAGAATGGATAAAGAAATCAGCAGAAAGGAGAAGACGAAGGAATACTGGATGAAGTGAGATGTGGTGCAGCCAGGACCGCTGACCAGCCGCCTCGGACCGACGGGTGATTGTTCAAAAGGTATGGCGAAGTGCCAGGACACGAGTGGCGCGGCGTGAGCTGTCGCGAAGGTGCCGCGGACACGCCCGAAGGGACCCCGGGATGTTAGGTGAGACGTGTTGCAGCTAGCACCGCTGACCACAGCCGAACAGCTGACAGGAGAAATGAGCGCCGACCAGATGTGTCGACGAGTAGCTGGCAACGGAGAGATTTGGCAGCTAGGACAGCTGACAGGAGAAGAGCCCGTCGACCAGGGGCCTCGACGGGCAGCCGGCGGCAGCGCGGGGACGGCTAGACCCCGACCCTTGGAACAGGGCGCCTGCGCGCGAGCCGAATCCAGCAAAACGCACGAGGGGCCCGAAAGGGAGACGAACCGAATCCCGCGAACCCGCAGAAGCCCCTTTCCCGAGCGCACAGCCCCCTAAGAAAGGACGCCTCCCTCCCTCCCTCCCTCCCTTCCCTCCCTCCCTTCCCTCCCTTCCTTTCCTTCCTTCCTCCCCCCCCCCCCCCCTCCCTCCCTCCCTCCGCCTCCCTCCCTCCCTCCCTCCCTCCTCCTCCCTCCCTCCTCCCTCCCCTCCCTCCCTCCCTCCCTCCCTCCTCCCTCCCTCCCTCCCTCCCTCCCTCCCTCCCCCCTCCCTCCTCCCTCCCTCCCTCCTCCTCCTCCTTCCTCCTCTCCTCCTCCTCCTCCTCGCTCCTCTCGCTCCTCTCCTCCCTCTCCTCCTCCTCCTCCTCCTCCTCCTCTCCTCCTCCTCCTCCTCCTCCTCCTCCCCTCCTCCTCCTCCTCCTCCTCCTACTCTCCTCCTCCTCCCTCCTCCTCCTCCTCCTCCGCCTCCTCCTCCTCCTCCGCATCCCTCCTCCTCCGCCTCCCCTCCTCCTCCTCCTCCTCCCTCCTCCTCCTCTAGGTCCTCCTCCTCCTCCTCCTCCTCCCTCCCCTCCTCCTCCTCCTCCTCCTCCTCCTCCTCCTCCTCCTCCTCCTCCTCCTCCTCCTCTCTCCTTCCTCCTCCTCCCTCCTCCTCCTCCTCCTCCTACTCCTCCTCCTCCTCCTCCTCCTCCTCCTCCTCCTCCTCATCCGCGCTCCTCTCCTCCTCCTCCTCCGCCTCCTCCTCCTCCTCCTCCTCCTCCTCCTCCTCCTTCCTCCTCCTCCTCCTCCTCCTCCTCCCTGTCCTACCCATGGTCGTGGTGGTGGAACACCAGCGCGTGGCAGGAGGCCCAGCACTGCTGCCAATCTTCGATCGTCCCGAAGCGCGGGCCCGCCTCCGCGGCGGGCGCCTCGCCCTCCTCGCCCGGCTCCTCGGCACCCGGCGCCGCCTCGGCCTCGGCCTCCGCCTCCTCCCCGCCCCACTCCTCGGGGGGTACAGTCGGGGCGTTGACCTAGGGAACCCAAAATAAGGAACGAGGCCCCTTTTTTCCATCAGTTAAACTTCGATTTCCGATCGAAAACATAGGGAAAACCTGAGGCAAGCCGCGAAACACTTGAGGAACGCGGAGCCCCTTCCCAACGAAAAGGGTTCCTTCTTCAGGGCCCCGACTGTAGGGTTAACTGAGCATTTCCTTAGGGTGGAGGGCTCAGGGTAAAGTCCATATGGGCATTTGCACCTCGCCAGTCCATCCGTCTCGTCATTCAACTCTTGCAGATTCAAGCCTAGAAGATCCATCGAAACGGCATTTCAGATTTCACCCTTTGCCCTTTGCCCTCCGCCCAAAGAAAATGCTCGGGTCAAGTCGGGCCTGTCCCCCGACAGGCCGATTCTGGACGAAAAATGAAAAATACCCCCAAAAGATTCTAAACATGCCCCAAGAATGGTCAACAAAATAGTCCCCAGCCTGTTTCTGACGATGTTTGAATCTTCCTCCTGGACGAAGAATTAAAATACAAAAAAAGCTAAGGATGCCTCAAAAAAGTCAAAAAGCAGTCCCCAGCCTGTTCCTGACTATTTTGGGAATGTTCCCCCTGGACGAAGAATAAAAAATACCAAAAAAAAATCATAAGACTGCCTCAAAAAAGTCAAAAAGTAGTCCCCAGCCTGCTTCTGACTATCTTTGGAATGCTCCCCCTGCAGAGGGACGGTGAAGGGGAACTGGGGCACACAAAGAAATACACACAAACAAACAGATTCCCCATACTTTCCCCATATGTTCTGGGTGGTTGTCCTCCCCCCCACTTTCCCATAGTTTCCCATATTCCCTGGGGAATGGACGACTAATTGTGTCTGTGTGATTCTTTCTCCTCCTCCTCCTCCTCCTCCTCCTCCTCCTCCTCCTCCTCCTCCTCCTCCTCCTCCTCCTCCTCCTCCTCCTCCTCCTCCTCCCCCCCTTCCCCTCCTCTCCTCCTCTCCTCCTCCTCCTCCTCTCCTCCTCCTCCTCCTCCTCCTCCTCCTCCTCCTCCTCCTCCTCCTCCTCCTCCTCCTCCTCACCTCCTCCTCCTCCTCCTCCTCCTCCTCCTCCTCCTCCTCCTCCTCCTCCTCCTCCTCCTCCTCCCCTCCTCCTCCTCCCCTCCTCTCCTCCTCCTCCTCCTCCTCTTCCCTCCTCCTCCTCCCCTCCTCCTCTCCTCCTCCTCCTCCTCCTCCTCCTCCTCTCCTCCTCCTCCTCCTCTCCTCCTCCTCCTCCTCCTCCTCCTCCTCCCCCTCCTCCCCCCCCTCCCCCCCCTCCTCCTCCTCCTCCTCCCTCCTCCTCCTCCTCCTCCTCCTCCTCCCTCCTCCTCCTCCTCCTCCCCCTCCTCCTCCTCCTCCTCCCCCTCCGCCTCCTCCTCCTCCCCCTCCGCCTCCTCCTCCCATAGTTTCCCATATTTCCTGGGGAATGGACGACTCATTGTGTGTGTGTCTCTTTCTCTCCCGAGACAGGCCCGACCTTAAGGGGCAGGGGCAGGGCCGCCGAGGCCCCGGGGGAAGCGCGGCGGGGCACCTGCGCTGCGGGCGCCGGCCACAACAACGGCGAAGCCTCGCGCCACAGCAGCTGTGATCCGGGGTCTGCTCTCCCCCCCCCTCCTCCTCCTCCTCCTCCTCCTCCCCCTCCCTCCTCCTCCTCCTCCGCCTCCTCCTCCTCCTCCCGCCTCCTCCTCCTGCGCACGCAGTAGGCGCTCATGAGATCCCCACGAGCCCCGACGGAGCAAGGCCTCCGTAAGACAAAAACCTCGGGAGAACACCCATCAGGACGACCTTTTTGTCACCCTCGACTGGGGGCGCCACCCAGTCGAGGGGCCAGCGACAGGGTGCTCTCCTCGAGGGGGAGGGCGGCCTGGGTCTGGGCCCTGACCGCTTCTCTCCAGACTGGCAGGGTTCCAAGCCTCGGTGAGGAGGATCCACTCCTTTCCTTGCTTGTACTTGCCCTGCTCAAGACCTCGCAAAACGCGGCTGCCCCAGACAGAGGGCACTGGCGGGCATGGGTCTCGAAACTGCTTGGACACGGTGACCCCGCCAGCACCGCACAGGACGCACACCACCCCCCGCCTCCCCCCCGCGAGAGTAAAGGGAAAGGCTCGATGGGTAGCGTGACCCTCTCTCCTCAGGACCGCGATCGCAACATCGGCACGACTTTCAACCGACGAGACCACGGGAGGAGGAGGAATTACATGCAACCTGGGCACATCAGCCCTGAGAACCCTGGCACGCTTGGACACGGGAACATGCAAACAGTCCAGATCGGCCATGGGAGGCCCACACACGCCAACCCATTGGGTCAGGGCCTGCACAACCTTAAACTGGCTTTTGAACAGGTCGCGATATTGAGGAGCGACTCTGCCGTGCTCTGCGGCCTGCTTGGCATACTGGTCTGCCAGCTCGTTGCCCAACTGAGCCCTGGCTGAGAGACGACCCGAGGTGACGTCGGCGCGAGAGGCGTGCGCCTTAACCTTGTTAAGGCGCAGCGCGTCGAGACCACCTCTGTCTTCAACGGCATGCCAGATAAGCTTCCAGATGTCGGCCCACGCAGCTTTGGACGAGCAACAAAACTGCCGCCCTCGATTCCAGACGCCTTGGAAAACAAAATTGGAGTCAGTCCAGAAGACGGCACCAGGAAGGGCCTGCCTAAGGCCCATGAAAAACGCCCAAAGCTCGCACGCATCGATGTCAAAGTGCCCAGCTGGTATACCACCAGCCACCACCGCGCGCTTCGCTCGAGAACTGGGGAGGGTCGGGTCATCGTGCAAGGAAACGATGGCCCAACCAAGCGATCGCGCGGTGGGTGGGAGCTCGGAATCAAAGAGACCCCCGTCGAGAAAACAATCTCCTCCTAGCTGATCGGGTGTTCCGAAGAGCCAAAGTTCCTCGGGGGGGTTGGGTCGGGGCGGAGGAGGAGCAGGCAGCGGCACGAGCAGGCTCTCGAGGAGGAGACGAACGAGGGGATTACCTGCTGCTGCTACCATGGCCTGCGTGCACGCTGGAGGCTCCCGCTCAAGCTCGAGCAAGTCTTGATGGGCAGCGCATCCAGCGCGCCTGTGCAAGAGGGCCCCTGGGGCCGAGGCGCAGACCTGACACTCTTGCTGAGACGACAGACCAAGCTGATATTGTCTATCTTGCGGCCACTGGCCGCCAGACACTGCACTGACAACATGGGCTTTTTCATGCGCCTTAAGCTTGGACATACCAGCTTTGATGGGAGCCAAAAAGGGTCCTTGCACAAACTCGGGCATCTGAAGGTGGTTGGCCACCTTGCTCCAGAGCCAACTCTCGACGACGGTCTCGAGGGCAGTTTTGACCGTGCGGGGACACAGAGCTTCAACCGAGAAAACGCCCACGCTGGGGTGCTGCCACTCGAGCCCGTTCATCTTGATGCCGAGCCGCATGGCCGTGGCGACGGCGGCGGAAAAGGGACCTCTGATGGCCTGCCAAGGAGAGCCGTGCTCTTGAAGTCTCTGCCTCGCACCTTCGAGGCCTTGCTTCACCACCCCACTAGGAACCCAACCGTCCCAGAGCGAGGTGGCGATAGAGAGGAGAGGAGAGACGTCGAGGTGGCACGCAGGATCGATGCGAGGAATGCCAGACAACTGCATCATAAGGGTGATCGAGCGTCCTGACACTCTCTGCGACTGCACGGTAGCCTGATGAAGACGAGCCCGCGCGAGCTCACGCCCGTTGCTGAACGGCCTGAACGGCAGAGGTGGAGGCCTGAACGGCAGCACGGACCATGATGCACCCGCCTTTTACATAGCTTGCCAGACAGATAGAGAATCTTTTTGTGACGCACCTTCGCGGCGGTGAAACGCCCTGACTTGGCGTGTCTCTTGATCACGCCTCCTGCAGCATAATCGATTCCAAGATTGCGCTCGCTCTGTACACCAAGCACACACTTGGCTTTGAGCGCAAGGGCTAAGTGCGAACGAAGCTGAGGACAGGAGGCGAGCACACGAGACTTATGCTTGCTGACTGGCAGATGCACGGCGCTCAACTCTTGATGAAGCAGACGTGTGGCTTGCACCAATGTGTCTCGCACTTGCTCAGAGGATCCGACCTTGTGCAACCACGAGTCATCCACGACCACCCCGATCTGAACCTCTCGAGCAGTGCGGAGAGGGAACGCTGCTTGCACTGTATCAAGCGGGGCGAGCAGCACTAGCTGCAGCATGAGGGTGGCAAAGTGACAGCCTGGGAGCACCGCTTTCTCGGTACAGATGGGGGCCGAGGTGGCCCAGGCATGGTCCAGGGCCCGCGGAGCCCGATACAGGCTCACCAACAAACGCAACTGCCGCAAGGGAAATCCCGTTGCCTGAGCCGCCTTGAGCAGCTCTCCGTGTCGCACGTTTTCAAACGCCTTGTGAAGGTCTAACAGGACCGTGCCTGCGAAAAGGTTGCGTCCCTGGGCCCACTCGGCGAAGGCAGCTTGAACCCACACAAGCCGATCCGACCCCCTCCCCCGAGTCGACCACCAGAACTCCCTAAAGTTCTGATGCTGCCAACGCCGAATGAGGGGTCGGCGGAGCCGCCCTTGGACCCTGGACGTGACATGCATTAAGGCTATGGGTCTCAATCCACCTGTGCGTTTCAAAATGAAGATTATTTTTTACCACAACTGAGGCCACTCGAAGCTGCTCTCGATGGTAAATATCAGCTGGCGAAAACACTCAAGGCCCTCGTCTGGCAACTCGAGCAACTGACGGGGCGAGATCTGATCGTAACCTTCCCCGCTGCTGGCACGAAAACTCCGGAGACACGCTTTGAGATCATCCAGGTTGCAATCGGGCAGCTCAGGGCCCATATCTGTCGGCCACAAAAGCGGATCGGCCAGGGATCCCACCTCCCAATACGCCCCCCACTCAGAAACCAAGAGCGCCATCTCCTCTTCCTGACTGGCTGGGGCTGGCGGCAGCGAGCCGTCATGTCTAAAACTGGGGCTGGTGTGCCATGGGGTGG